GTCTTTAGCCTCACTCATGTCCATTTGAGCCAGGCTAATACAGTGTTATAAATATTTGAAAACCTGCTGTTTGTGAGGGCATAGGAAAGATGTGTCAGGGTGAGCAGTGGGCATCTCTGAAGATACCACCCTCTCCATACTGCTGTAGCAGTCACAATGGCATGGGTGGCCCACACCTCTCTCTAGGAACTGTGCCAGTTTCCAGCGGACATTCTCTCCATCCTGGCTACTCATGCCCACCTCACGTGGCATGGATTCATCTGGGTTAAAAAAATCTCAACCAAAACAGGGTGGAGGAGAGGAGGACAATATCCTTCAGCCATAACAGCAATATGATCCAGCTTACCATGGAGAGGCAAGAATATGCTGAAAACACGAGGAGGGAGAACTTCAGTCAGTACTGCTGCAAAGACGGAGCACAGAGAACTGCAGGGTCAGCTGTTCCTGCCAGCCCCACTCCCAACAGTGAGGACTCTGAAGGACTTTCATTTTGGGGGCTGCTGCTAGTCTTGCTGATTGGAGCAAGACTGGGAACTGCAATATGGAAGGAAATGAGTATTGAAGTTTCACTAAGATTTTCTTTTCTTGGCATGCCACCCATTTACGCAACCCCTCACCACCAGCTTCCTACCAGCTCTTCAGCTGCATCAGTCCAAATCTGGGTGGTGGCCCTGTCTGAGAGAAGAGCCTTTTGTTAGTGCTGGTACTTCTAACCAACACTGGTTTCCCAGTATAGCTCCCAATGTGGCTGCAGGGGCAGCTATGCTGGCAGAAGAGAGGAGGGGTGGGGACCAAGAGGAGGAGAGAGGGCAGCAGCTTATTTAATCAGGCACTGCCCATAAAGAAACAATCACAGAATTATGGGGTTTGTACTGTTCACTACAAAAAGTACTATTTAACAGAGAAGGAGTTTTTCTAAGCCAATGAAAAAGAGGAAGAAGCCAGCACATTAGGGGAAGAAATCAGTAAATTGTGGTGGGAAATCTCCCATGTCTGGAAGTGGACTAGTGAAAGAAGTCAAAGCAGATGATCTCCTCCCTTTTGGCAGGGGCAAGCTATTTATGCTGGCCTAGTTGCCCCTGAAGTGACAGGCTGGGACTGAGAGCAGAGGGAAATGGGGCATATGGTGAGAAAGGCCAGAGAAGGACATTTGGAGAGGGAGATTCAAATAGGCTGGGCAAAGAGTGGAAGGATGGAGAGAGGAAGAAAAATTAAAGCTTGGAAAAGGGGGTCTAGCCCAAGGATGAGGCAAATCTAGAAAAATATCATTTTAGAGGGAACAGAGAAGAAACTGTAATGTTTGGAATAATAAACAGAAGAATCTGTGTTTACTGGAGGCAGCTCCTCTGCACAACTTGGGCTGGAACCAGGATCCTGAACCTCTGCTGCTTCTCCATCAGCAAATAGCAGTTAATATCTTTAAGTCATTGAACATTGTAGTGATGAAGAGCCCATAGAGAAATGAAGATCTGTGTCTCCACATCAAGGTTAGAATAATGCACAGTAAAAAAAAGCTTTCATCTGAACTTAGAGAGAAAGCAAATGACTGAGTGCATGCTTGTTAGCATTCATTTAGAGCAAGCAGTGTTCATCTTCTGCATCTCTGAAAGAGCTCAGATCATTGCAACTGGGTTCATCTTTGAATGAGCCCAAATCTGACAAGCAAGGACTATGTAATAATGTAGTTAAGACCAGGGCAGAGTTTACCCGGACAAAGAGGCTTGCATTTCTGAGGAGAGCAGCCCACAATCCATTAGAGTGAGCAGATCCAGAGCCATAATTTCTAGTAACTCTTCATTTTTCAGCCAAAGAAAAACACCTAGGCCAAAACCCCCCTCCCCATCACACCCATGAATGTTTTAAAAAATGTCTCTAATTTATCATACACCTTCAACTACCAGTCAGTAGTTCAGTTATGATCATTTAAGCATAATATTTGCTCAGGTCGAAGACTTCCAGTGAGATCCAGTCCAAAGCTGGCCCCATATCTCCCTTCAATGATGCCACCTCCAAGAATTTTACAATAAGGAGATGTTCAATCCAGTCATTTTTTTGAGTCCCACTAAGAATAATCTCTTTTTCAGAAGACTAACTTAACTTTTCACCCATAGTTCTCAGAGCAGGTTTAAGTAATAATAAAAAATGTTAAGAAGGAAGAAACCCATGTCCAGCCTGCTGAATCACACCGCCTCCCTAAACCACATTGCGATTAGAGCTGCTGGTGAAGTGTCCTTTAAACTTCTGTAGGAGTCGTGATAAAAAGCAAACAGGGAGCATGGCTTTATCTGATTTGTTCTTCCAAAGTTGTGCAGTGCATCTAGACTCCTGTAAACAATTACTGCAACCCGCCTGAACTTTCACCAAAAGTATGAACTTGGGCAAAACTTTACACCAGTGCACATTTATACTTTTGGTGGGCAAGGTTACAAACGGGACTTGATACCTGTTAAGAAAATGTACCACTGGCTTGCTCCAGAAGTTGTCTAAATCTTTCAGCAGGTATAAACCAAGTCATGCATAACACCCCTACTCCAAACAAAATATCCGAATTCTTCCACCTTTATTGTTTCTGTTACTGTTGCCTGGTAGAGAAGGGGACAGGTTTTCCATTACCCAAACTGCAGTGATCCTTCTTTATGCCAACAAGGTGTAATGTGGTGTAGTGCCAAGATGACAATGTGTAAACCCTGATCCAACAAAAAAAGGACCCTCTCTAAAAGAAGGGGTTCACGTTCATTCAACACTGCTTGGGAGGGTCACCAAAGACTGGGAAACTCTATGCAAAGATTATACCCAGTCAGATATTTGAACTGTTCTTCACAATAACCACGCTTGAAGTTTTAAGGACAGTGTGAATTTAAGCTTTTTGTAATGCAAAATGAATACACTCGGAAATAACATAACTTATTTATGTACCTGCAGGGTACTTCTTGGAAATTACATAGCAGCTTATGCCAGCAATGGGAACATTACTAATGTAACACCATGTTATCTCCTTATAACAATGTAAACGCCTCAGATCACCCCAGTATTTGATAACATCACAGAGATAAATGTTTCATCCATGCATAATTCCAGCAATGGAGGATGGATGTAGTAGCAAGGCAATTTGTGTTTCTGCAAATGTACCAAAGTTCAAAAAAATATACTAACTGACACACACAAAAGAAAAGGAAAAAGGAATTTAAAGACACATTGAGATGCAGTGTGTGTTTCTCTTGGGACAGTTTGGGAGGGGAGTCTGATTATCCAGTTACTCTCTAATCTGCAAAAACTGTCCACATACAAAGGGCCCAGGTACCAAAGCTTGCTCCTGTCTTTCACATCTTCACTGCATGGTGCTGAGCTTAACAGGAACATCTCAGTCCTACACCAGGCAGTCCTTGTTCCCATCATACCTAAAAGTGTTGTGTGTTTGCTCCGTGATCTCTGCAACAGACTTGTTAAATTCAATTAACAGCAGCTCATCAGTAGTACATAAACTTGTCCCAAGTGTCTGACCGTGAATGACTCCAGGGTTGGGGCCTCCACCACCTCTCTGAGCAGTCCAGTCCAATGATCTATTATTTTTATATTAAAGATTTTTTTTCTTTATAATAGCAGAAACATCAGTCCCTTAGTATTATAGCTTTAAACAAAATCATGCTAACTAAGCTCAGTCAACAGAACCCTGGACATTTTAAGGGTTACTTTCAAAAGCCCCTAAATCCCAACAATATACAGAAATTTTGTACAAAAATTAGGAAAACAAGTAACAGTGCTAAATAGTAAATGTGAAGAAGATGGTTGCACACAGCAGTGAAATCCCTTGCTAGCTAAAACATAGACACAGAAAGGATTCAGAAATAGGGAAGAGGTAGAGCTTGATAATTAAAGAGAAACAAACACTGTGAATGTTCTGGGAAAGTACACTGGCATCCCAATGCAAATACAAACCCAGGTTCAACCAAACAGTCACGTAACTTCTATGTTCTTTCAGCAAGCATTAAAAAGCCAGTAAGTCTGTCAGGTGTGGATGCTGTCTGCATGGGCAACCTCCATCTAGAGAAAATTTTCCCAGACTGAGGTCCCAAGCATGAGTTCAGTGTGAGTTTTCCACTAATACATTAAACATTTCTGCAGATGTTTCAGGAAGATATTAACGTGTTTACAAAGAGGAAGCAAATAATGAATGCAGACACAGGAATCAGTAAGTTTGTTTACAAGTTTGTAGAAGTTGGGGAATTTTAAGTTAAGAAAGAAAGAGGTTATTTTAGAACCAAAACACACATGCCCCTAGCTAGATCTAAATAAACTTTTAACTTTTCACCCTTATGAAGCATCCAGTGACTGAGATGGCATTATAAGATCAAAATAAAAATGTGAGACAATGATGATGGAAAAGACTTTTCAATATTCAGACAAGAAAGTCCTTTTATTTTCAGTCTAAGGTCTCAGTCCAGGGAGCTGTTGTGCATGGGCAAGCTCCGTATCAGCACTGTGATTCACCAGTGAAATATAATTTGCAGGATCAAAGATTTCAGAAAATTCTTGTGCTGGCCTATAGGTATCCCATGAAAAGTTCCCTGCCTTTGAGGCAGCTCAAGCTAAAGCTCTGGGTGCCTCCTGTAACTGTGAATCCCCACGACTTTCAGTGGCAGCCTAAGCCACTACCAGAAAACCCTTGTCTCCTTCAAGAGCCTCTGTTATGTCTGCTGAGACTGCAGTGAGAATGTCTGTGAGTGGGACCAAGAAGGTGATTTATGTAGCGGGTTGAGTTTCCTTCAGGTGGCTCAACAGTGCACTCTTGTTCCTACCCTGCTGGTGTATCACAGGGGTGGCACAGGGTGGAGAAAACCAGGCAAGAGAAAGGAGCATCTGCTTAAATTGAATTGAGCACCTCTACAACATACAAACCCAAAGTGTAGCACTTCATCTCACTCCTGCCATCAGATTGTTTCCTACTGGCCTCCAGGCTCCTCCTGCTCAACAAGCCCATAAAGTAGGAAGAAAATACTCACCACCAGCAAGAGCCTCCTCTCTTGCACTGTCATCATCACTAGGCTGAAGAATATTCCAGGATGTCAAAGCAAGGGAAGAAATGTCTTCAGCTGACGATAACTTCAGCATGTCCATGTGATTGCTGTGAGGCTTGTAACGTGGGATGAAACACTCTTTGCCTTGCTTAAAAATGTCCTTAATGATTTCTTCTGTCTGGATTTCATCTGGCATGCTCAGGAAGATTGCAATTCTTTTGGATTCTTGGTACTTGGGATGGCAAATCACCTACATGGGAAGTTTATGAAAAGTTTACAGAAAGATTGACATTTTAATTAAGCACATAACTGGAGAAAAATATCCACTGGGAAGGGTAGAGATACAAGCAACCATGCGTCATAAAGAGAATGACTTAAACATTTCTTCCATCAGCAAAATCAAAGTAGGTAAATTTTTGCACCTAGTGAACAAAAGAATTGTAACACAGGTTTGGGCCAGCAAAAAACAAGTTTGGAGAGAACCTCAGGATTCTTTAAAAATTTGTGCCATACAGTGCAGACAGCCTCAAATGCCCAGCATCACTGGAGAAAGCTACAGCAGGTCTGAGCTGCCAGCTTATGCAAGACTTGAGGTTTATGCATTCCTTTTCCTCCAGCCTTTTCAAATGCTCCATCTCTCATTCAGGCCTAGACATGAGAAGCACAGCAATGATAATAACTCAAAAGACAATCAGCATCACAGAGCAGATGACTGCAGAGCACACCGTCTTCCAACACCAGGTCCCCCTTTCTTTTATCAACCTGATATGCCTTCCCCACAGCAAGTTTAGATACGTGACTTCAAACATCACCTGCTTCTAACAGTTGATCTTACTGCTGCACATTTTTCAGAGCCTGAAGGAAAGGTGGCCTTGCACGTTCTGATTTTCATGATTTTTTTTTTTGCTGGGCTTATAAAAGACTAAATAAAGGAAGGAAAACTTTAAAAAATGCATATATGGTGGAAAAAGTGTTAGCAGATTCATGTCCCTGCCCCATTCCAGCTTGAATCCCACATGAAAATCTCAGAGGAGGCTTTCAAATGCTTGTGTTCTCATTTTCTAGCACCTTACATATTTTGTTACTTACATCTGGACAAAATAAATACAAATGTGTCCCTCCTCATGTAAATGTGATTTATTCTTACTCTGCACACTTGCAAAAAATCTGTCAAAAATACCAGACAATTGAGCAAGTGTGCTTATCTACGGAACAGAGAGCACCAAATCCTCTGCTCTGTGTTTGCATAACTGCAGGGTTACATGGTCTTCTGAGCTTCAGCCTTTGCCCTGGCCCTGTTTTGAGAGATAAATGCCCCTATCCGAGTTGAGATAAGGTTTTCTCTTTCTTTTTTTCTTTCTTTCCAGCACAGCAGTTAAAAGCCCAGGTGAAATATTCAGAAAATGAATGTATTTTTGTAAGGACAGGGAAAGAAAAAAAAACACAAACCACCAGCACACCCACTCTGGACCATAGAATGGTAATGGGTTGCTTGGCCATAGAAACATCTTAACAATTCAAACCCATATTTTACTTCCTTTTGTAATTTGCCCAACCTTACACATGAATTTTTTCAACTAAGTGATTAAGCTCTTCAGCAACAGAATTTCCATATCTGCTTTTGTTTGAAAGAACAGACTATTTAGTGAAATTGCAGGCTCAAGACGATGCCTCTGATTCATGTTGAGGGCCTTCAGAGCTGAATCTTCTCCTGGGTTTGGAGAAGAGAGAACCCGAGACACAAAACTGCCCTCTTTCCAAGAGGTGCTGTGTGGTGTGGCCACCACCGTTGGTCCAATCTGCTCTGATGTGTCCAGTAACACACTGATGATGTTGTACAGGAAAAAAAAAAGAGAAGTCGAAGATGTAAAACCACATACTAGCAGGAAGACACCATTTCAGATGTTTCCACAACTGCGAAGACGATGTGCTATGACTCCGAGCAGTTCTGAGAAGAGTGAAACAATTTCCATGCTTAATAAATATTATTTGTCCTTCGTTCACCAGCTGATGGCTGGTTTTGCAGAATCAGAGCATGCAAACAGCATGACTTTAATCATGAACATAAAAATTAAGAAGAATAATCAACCAGAAACTACTTAAATACTAGTAGCTCGGTCAGCCTGTGAAGCTATTTCACTTTGAATTTAAAGATCATTTTGAGATGAGATTTTACGACTAAAAATATTGTTCAGGTGTTATAAAATAACCTACTCACTTTTACTCCCTGCAAGCACTGATATATGTTATAAAGCTATATTTTTGGCCTTTATATTGTTCCAAATATTTTCTCTCAATTTTCAAATGTTTCTTTGTGTCTGCTGTGCTACCCACCCCCCCAAAGAAGCTGACTACTTTCTGCCACTTGCATGATGCCCCTCTATCTCTAGCAAGCTCAGGATGTTCAATTTGTGTCAGATTATTAAAATGGCAAGATAACAGCAATTTATATATGTCATATTTCCTGCTGCCTTCTTTTAAGCAAAACAAAAGCTCTACCTTTTAGTGTGCTTTCACTAGCAGAAATGAGTGCTCTGTTGCTACGTTTGTCAGTTGCACTTAAGAGGCTGAGGACTCCTAAAAATGTGTACTATATGGACTGGGTGTTAATGAAGTTAGGAGATGACTGCATTTTTTAAGAGGATGCATGCCAGTATTTTCTAAAAATTGAGATATTTAAGTCTAGGATGTGTGATTAATAAAATGCTTTATCATGATACCAAGACATTACTCTTTTTTTTTAAAAAAAAAAAGCATTCCCTCTGAAAAAAAAATAGGTTACTTGTGTTCTAGTTAAACTTCCTATGACCTAAAATTTCTGTGCTGCCACATCCCCCCCCTGCTCATGAAGTGATTACACATTAGTATTAGATGAAGTCTATGAAATTATCTGAGATCCTCTGACAGGAAAATAACAACATAAACGTAGATCATCTACAAGTACCCACTGGTGCTGCAAAAAAAATGAGTTACCTGGAGTCACTGCAAAATAAAATTTTATTGTGTTTATTAAAATGACAAAATACATCTATATAAAAACTTTGTAATCCGAACACAAACAGGACATTGCAAAAGTACATGTCGATACCACGCTGTGCTAGGATACCCGTTAGGTAAACCTCTTTGGTATCTCTTCAAAGTTACCTTAGAAATAAAATTGCGTGGAAGAAGTACCGCTGAAAGTTACAGCAGGGAAGCGACAGGCAGTTAAACTAGAGCCCAAGGGAGGCGGTTGCTCACTTCTCCTCTGGATGGCTCGGAGCGGGCCCTAGGGCCGGCCCGATGTGACCGGCCCGCGCTGAGCGCCCAGCCCGCACCCGCGC